GCCATCCACCTATGACGTTGAGGGTTGGTAAGACAGACATCAAAACCAGGATTTCTGCACATTTGACTCACCAATGCCACTAGGTATGACACCTGAGGTCACTTTGATGGTGGTATAAAATTTTAGTGAATATACAGGAGGAGATGTGGTGTTCTAGGAGCAGAACAATGAACAAATCCTCTTCCTTAGTGTTTCCTTTTAATGCTGCATCATTAAAATTACCACAATTCAAGAACAATGGGAACCGAATAGATATAAAGGCTGCATATCTTATTAAACTACCCGAAAAACACGAAAGCCATATGCAGCCAAATCGCTTTGTTCGCATGCAATATTCTTCATGCAAAAAATAGGGTGACTTTTGATTTCCCTTTTATAAACGCCATTACAATATCTAATCTAGTGGCAAGCATCAAGAAAGAAGCTGCTAATTGTCCTTCTTGAGACAACATTGTGTGCTAAGAAATCAAAACATAATTACTGCCCAACAAGGAGGGAGTTATCCCATAGAAGGGTGAAGTGGAGAGTTGGTTGTTTGGGGATAACCAATGTTATGATCCCCCACAAAAATAGGCCCGGCCTGCAAATTACACTGCCCATTACAAAAAAAGGCGAACAGATAGTCAGTCAATCTGTGAGTCGGTCAGTCGGTATGTCGGTCTGTCGGCCGGTGAGAGAACAATCCTTCTCAATGACAAATGCGGAGCAACTGGTTGACAGTCGCTAAAGCTGCTTATCTGTCACCTGTTAATGCACAACATGAGGGTGGCGCCAAATTACTCAGTTTGCCTTCAACGACTTTTTCCAATCTCCGTTGACATTGATGTCAACCACTCGATTTATCTTAAAGCTACTCTTTTAAACTGATGCATCCCTTTTTGGCCAGTTCATCTTCCAAATTTCATTTCTCATCACCTTCAATGACAATGCATTTTATGACCCTGTTTATTCTTTTGGAGAATTTCGCCTATTCTCAGACCTTTCTGATACTCCATCAGGAAGCATCTCCTTGTGTTCACTCAGGTTGTGATAACCCATACTAGTGTGGATCAAACGGAAGGAGGGGTCAGGAGGTTACAAGTGTGATCAAAGTGGCCTGGCGCCAGGCGCAAGTGCAAATTGAGGAGAGAGTGGTGAAAAATACAACATCACAGCAGTCTTTGTATTTATCAGAGTGTAATGTGGAGACGCCCTCTACGGTCATTCTTCCGATTCAGTATTAATCTTTTTGGACTGCAATAGCTGCAATTCAGGAGCAACTTTGATTGTGATCAAGCCATCTTTTAGCTGTAGTACACGCTGTACGTCTGGGCAGGCACTAGAAGGCCCAGACACCTTCCATGTGAACTGTCCTGGGGATGAGCTTATTTTCTAAATAGGCCTCAAGCCTGGAGAGCACCTTCTTTATGTCAAAGCATGCTCAGCATGATATTTACCTAGCTTTGGCAGCAGAAAAGCAAGGTTAATCTTTCTAGCATGTTATACAAATTATTTTGACAGGGAAGACGTTCCAATAATTCTTTACGGATTACTCAGCCTTGATCTTACTCGCCCCATGGTTATTGCGGAGAGCTTGAAATTGAAGGAATTTTCCACAGCCCACTCTTTCTGTAGCATTGAGACCTGAGCTAGTTTACTGCTGTCAAGATAGAGAAGGGTCTATTATTCGCATTCAGAAGGACTGAATGACTGTGGGGACAACTGGGGGGCCGTGGCATCAAGCGGTAGTACTAACTCTGGAGTCTTCAGACGCCACCTGAATATCCCTTATAAAATTAAATCCAAAAAATTACCCATTCCTGTTAGATAATTCCTCCTGGTGTTCCACGTACTACACCAAGTTACCCAGCATCAGTAACCGAATTGGCCGTGAACTCTTAGTTCATATTATATGAAATTGCGGAGCCTGTCTTTACTTGCTAAATCGGTGTTTATGAGTTCCGATTAAGCATAGATTTGAGGAATAAATGTTAAAGACATCAACTATTCAAACTTATTTGATTTGAACTTGTCGGGTTGTCATCAGCGGTGGGCACCGATCAC